ACCACGATCTCGAACAGGAAGGATAGAATCACATACGGTGCAGCGGGTGCAGCACCACCGGCGTTGATGTTGTCGCCCATGTCGTCGAGGATGAGGTTGCCGAGGTCGGGGAAGAAGTCGTCGTTCGCGAAGTCGTCACTGCCAGCAGTCGCGCGAGTGCGCTCCCCAAAAACCTGATCGCCCCTTTCCTGTACAGGATCACGAGAGGCGGGGTTCCGGAGGCCTGCTGTCCCTTCTCGCGGTGCACGCCGGAAGGAGGGATGGAGAAGACTTGCTTGGCGGCGCAATGATCTGGACCCACGTCTGCCTGACTATATAGTGCGGGCCGGGTAGGTCGTGGGAGTAAGCCCCACGTTCGAGTCATCACGATCCAAAAGAATCGGAAACAGTTTAGTAATTAACGCGTCCGTTAATTATTAATTAATGACTCATTAATTTTCCTATGCAGCAAAAATATAGACAACGTGCATAGCTCTGTCCTCGGCTCGGCTCAATCCCGCGGCGCGGCGCGGCGCGGCGCGTCGTGACGAGACGAGCGAGGAGGAGGAGCGCGTGTGTAGGTCTCCTCTTCTCATGCTCATACAAGTGGTAGAAGAGCCCACCTTATAAAGAGGTGCAACTCTCTCTCAACTTCCGGGGTGGGACTAAACTTTAGCCTCACTCACTCCACTCACATGTGTGCATGAATGGGCCAAGAGAATTTCAGAATTTTAGTTGGGCTTTGGGCCAAAGGCCTACTAGCAAAATTTCAACATCCTCGGCCATCCCGGGCCAAAACCCGCAATTTGTCAATTCCAACGCCAACGCCACCTGACTAAAACATGTGTAAGAACACTTATAAACTCGGATTCAAATAAACCAGGCCAAGACATGGAGACACAACAAAGCAGCCTTCAGAAAGGCAAATAATAAGGCATGTTTACTTGCTTTGTTGATTTCATGTACAAATAGTTCTTGGACAAGATGATGTGTTTTGGAAAACTCACCAATTGATGCAGCCAAAGCAGAGGCCACCGCCTGCAAGATTGAACGGGAGCAATGCGTTTAAAACGGAGAATTCCGCCAATATAGGACATAATATTTTTCCCGTTAAATTCTAAAGTCTTGTTGACGCTAGCACATTGCACCAAGGCAACAAAAATTTAGCCAAGGTAACGTAACAAGGAAATTAGTGCTGTTTTGGCTTAGAGAAGGTCCAGGTTTAGGGAGTTAACTATGTTAGGAGTTCAATCATATGGTGTAAGGTGATGTCCAGAAAACATTCTAAAAAATGAGGGGAATGCATTTTAGAAACATGGAGGACACTCATGGAGCGCCTACTCAAGACCAGAATGACGGAGTTTCAAGATTAATGAAAAGTCACTAGATGTGTCCCGTTGTCGACGGAAAATGTCAACTCCTGCTGAAATAATATTCCGTCTTAGGCCGCACTTGGATTCGCTGTAACTAATTACGGGGGTGTTTATTTTACACTTGTATCTTACTGGCTGCTCAGCAATTTTCGGCTGGAAACCAGACAATGAGCCGAGACCTGTATTTTTTACAGATTTATTTAAAGGCAACATGACAATCCAATCAGGGCCTTTAATGAGACATACTTCCTCCATTCACTTTTATAAGTCGTTTCATATAAGTGAAATTGTGCTGTTTTCCACACTGTCTGAAACATCTACAAAGCCTTATAAAAGTGAAATGAGGGAGTAAATGTTTTCAAATCTGAGATTTTATTCCTGGTGGACTGGAGGTAGCCTCTTAACCATCCAACTACATGTTGATTCTCGAAACCAAAGATATGCTAGAAGAACATAGAAAATAATTGGAATTCCTACGAAAGGAATTTATTACAAGATAAAGAAAACAAAAATATAGAAATATTTTGGAGGAAGACATGAAATTTGAGACAACTCACGAAATATTGAGGAACAAACATGGAAATTCATGAATATGGTGATTTGCATGAATGATCATGATTTTTTATGAGTTTTTTATTATCCTTTTATGAGAATGCTTCTGAATTTTGCAAGTTCTAGTAGACTTCCTAATTTATTCGTTCCTATTTCAAATTCTGAGATGTTATTGTAACTTTTCTAGAACATTTATGACGTTTTCTTCATGTTTTCTCTTACTTCACCCTAACTTCTTTATAACTGTTTTTATTTCCATGATTTGTTCATTCTAAATGATTAAGTGTCACGAGTGCGTAACCACTGCCACATGATCAGCCATACCACTTTTTGTAAGGTTGATAGTAAATCTGCTATCACAACTTATGGTTAAAATTTATTTGTTTTGTAAACTAGGGACTAAAACAAAGCTTAATCAGTAGTGGAGGGACCAAATTGACAAAAAAAACTATACATTACCTTTTCCCATTGATACCGGGCTTAGTAAAGCATGAACAAGATCACATAAATCCTCATCAGTTCCCTCAAGCCCTGGAGCCATTTTCACGAAGTTTTCTTGTTTGAATCCAGGAGACATTTTCAATACACACCAGAATGTACACAAGCTCATCCTTTTGGACACGCATATGAGTTGTTTTCCAACACTGTTACCACCCAATGATAAACAGACCAACAAAGGCAGCAGGTGCATTCTCCTGCTAGTTCATTCTGCACATCCTTTTTTGCGAGACATTCTGCCCATCGCTAACCCCATCCATGCATCAGGCTCTCCACAATAACAGAAAACAAAACTGAAAGAAGGGAGCTTCCACAGAAACCAATCTTCTCTGTTGATGGCACACGGCAGAGAGACCGACCCGGCGTCAAGAGCCTCCGGTCTCCGTAGAATTTTCACCGGAACACGCGAAGGTGTCCTCTTCGTGAGCGAAGCCTTTCAGGAGTCGGGAGGAACTGGATCCGTACTCTCTGCCATTACAAAGACGATCGGTACGCATCGAAATGGGGAGAAAAGCACTGCAGAAGTGCAGAGATTCATAGGCTAGCCGGAGCTGCCTTGTTTTTGTTCCTTTATTAGAAACATGGACAGGGTACATAATAATCACGGCCAGTTGATGCCTCGCCTCTCTCTAGAAGAGTTCAAATATGCATTAACAAGCACCGGCAGTTGCTAATTGCCAGGCATACTACCAAGTAAATTAAGATAATCGTTACTGCAGGCAACAAGCTAAAAAAGATTTACTGCCGGAAAGTGCTCGTTTGGCCTCCGGAAGCTATATCAGACAAAGTTTCAGAATAACAGGTGAATCATATGCGGACGACATAGGCTCAGAGCAGACGAAGCAGTGCGGGAGTAGAAGGCCACCACGAACCCCACCACGAATCCGATGGCCACTCCGATGCTCGACTGGTCGTTGAGCCCGTGCAGCCTGATTCGTACCGGTCTCCATCTCCTCCTCGAGGGGGGACAATCATCCAATGGTGAACCACAATGTCCTTGGTTACCAGCAAAGTTCGAAGCCGGAAACTTACGTGGTAAAGTAGGAATAGGCCCTGATAACAAGTTCTCCACAACATTGAATGCGGTTAACCGAGTAAGCAAATCGAATTGCGGTGGAATTTGACCGCTGAGTTGGTTATGCTGGAGGTTGAGGAGATTCAGATATATCATGTTTGAGATATTCTGTGGGATCGAACCCGAAAAACTATTGTACGAAAGGTCCAGAGATGTCAGGTACGGCACCTGCCGTGAAATGTCCTGAAGGATTGGTCCTGAAAAATTGTCATTCGACAGATCCAGGCCGGTCATGCTTGCACAATCTTGAAGACCTTGGGAAAATGCGCCTTGAGGTCCTAGGTTGCCGAGACGCAGAGAGAGAACCCTGTTCTCATCGGCGAACCAGCATTCCACACCAATAAAGCGGCATATCTAACCACGGAGGCCATTGTTGTCAAAGTTCCACGAGGATTTGAGTACACCGTTGGGATCAATCACTGATTGTTGTACAGACTTGAGGCACTGGATATCTTGTTCAGAACTAAAACACAACGATAAGCTGCTCAAGAGGAGAAACAAAAGGAGGAACTTGGAATCATCAGTCATCGCATACGAGGACGAGGAGTGAAACAAGCAGCTGCTCTCTCCGCTAAAATCTGCAGCTTGTCAATTACAGCGTCACCTGATCAAAACATGTGTAAGATACTTGAACACGCTACTTGAAAAATAAGAAATAATTGGCTCGGACATAAGACACCAGAAAGCAGACGCCATAAGAAGTAAATAAGTCACGTGTACTACTTGCCTTGTTGATTTCATGCAATACTTCATACACAAGATGAGGGGCTTCAGAAAACTCACCAGTTGATAGATCCAAGGCAGAAGCCACTACCTGCCATAGTTGAAGGGACACGGCTCTTAAAGGGGCAACCCCTCCACTGGAGCACAGACTTTTTCTTCAGCTAATTAATTCCCCAGGTCCTACTGAATGGGTGAGTAGCTAGCACAAGGAAGAAAGATTGGCCAGCTCACTATCCCACTCCAAGCAAGTAAGCAGTCAACGAAACTCAACACCAAAGAGAAAATAGTGGTAGAACTTTCTGCGCCGATGCATCGCATCACCGATTTATGATGCTAGAAAAACTAAGACATATGAGAGAGACATCTACAACTTTGTCAAGAGCAAAGACAATGCTTCTCCTGGTCCTAGTAGGCACTTGGATTAATTCAGGATCAAAACAGGACTTGTTAATTACAATTTGAAAAACAATTGATATTGGGCAAAGCATGGACACACTACCAGAAACTGAAATTTTTCTGTGTGCCAAATGTTTTTCCTGTCGGGCCCGCAGCTAACGCACAGTAAAATTCATATCCATGTCAGCCCATTGTACAAGATCAGATAAACGCACATCAACATGAGAAGTTTCACAATTTTTATTATTTAATTGGATCATGAGATATTCGTAATATTCATCAGAATGTAGCCGTACTTCACTCTTGTCACCACACACACGACTTGTTTGCCCACATATTTACCACTGAATAGACCAACAAAGGCAGCTGGCGCATTCTCTAGCCCAATGCTCGTGTACCCGCCGTCACCCACAAACACGAAAGGTGTAGGGCTGGAACCTCCCACAGAACAAGAACTTGTGCGGGAAGTAGAAGGCCACCACGAACCCAAAGATGAACCCAGCCGACGCCCCGATGATGGACGCGTCGTTGATCCTGTGCAGTAGCTTCTGAATCCGGACAAACATCTCCCGAATCCGGACAAGCCGAACGTGTATCCGCACCCTGAACCTCTTCTTGCACTTATTGTCCAGCGGCGCCCCGCAGAGCCCCGGGTTGCCCATGAAGTTGGCGGTCGGGAAGCTCTGCAGAGAGTCCGGGACGGGACCGAACAACGAGTTCTTGGCGACGTTGAACGAAATGAGGCGTGAAAGGTTGATCGCCGGAATTTCGCCGGTGAACTGGTTGTGTTGAAGAGCGAGGATGTTGAGGTACGTCATGTTCATGATGCTTGCAGGGATTCCACCTGAGAAGCTGTTGTTCGAGAGGTCTAGAAAGCTTACATAGGGCATCTGCTCAGAGATGTGTTCTGGGAGCGGCCCTGAAAAGTTGTTGCCTGACAGGTCCAGAGTGGTCATGGAGGTGCAAAGCTCGAGGCCTCGAGGAAATGGACCTTCGAGTCCTAAGTTGCCGAGGCGCAAACTGAGAACCCTGTTTTCATTAGGGTTCCAGCATTCCACGCCGGTGAACCCGCATATGTCACCGTCATCGCGGATGTCAGTAAAATTCCACCGGTGGGATTTTTTCCCTAGTATATCATTAGGATCAATCAACGATTGTTTGAGGTCCTTCAAGCATTGGACATCAGAAGCACTGATTCCATGGCCAAAGTATGATGACGAGCTGCTTAGGAGCAGCAGCCAGACGACCAGCTTGTTGTAACCATGCATCGTGAACCTGCCGGCTGCCTTCCAGTGTCACCTGCTCCATCAAAATACGCACGATCAAGGATGTTCTGGCATATCACTTGTAATGATATACTACTCTCTAGCACAAGCCTTTACAAAGACGTCCCTTCACGAAAACGCGGTGGCAAAAAATAGAAAGAAAAAATCCGGCTGTTTTGAACTCGCCTGATCCGTACCTCACAGCTGCTCACCAATTATGCAGCAGAAAGCAGAGCCGGCGCTAGTAGAAATACATGAAGGAAACATTTATGTCATTCCCTTACCTGAAGAGAAACAGACGCGAACGAATACATGATCAGAACATGTGTAAGAACACTTAAAACTCTGCTTCAAATAATAAGAAGAGATGAAAACATGGAGACACAATACAAAAGCAGGCTCCGAAAGGCAAATAATAAGCCATATTTACTTGCTTTGTTGATTTCATGTACTCCGTACTAGTTCTTAGACAAGGTAAGGTGTTTCAGAGAACTCACCAGTTAATGTAGCCAAAGTAGAGGGCACCACCTGCAGCAATTGAACAGGCACAGCCCTTTTAAAACGGTGAATCTCTGCACTAGGTGACATGCTTTTTGTTCTGTTAGCTTCCAAGTCTTGCAAATTGAAATGTTGTCGTGGCCGGCCGACCTGCAGGCAAGAAGGTCAAAGTCACCAGGTTACACACCAAGAAAAGTAGTATTTTATTAGGAAGTCCTGATTTAGAGAGTTAACTATGTTAGGAGTTCAATCATATGATGTAAGGCAATTTTCCCACTTAAAATAGGGGTAGAACTTTCTGCATTGATGTATCACATCATCAATTTACGAGGATAGAAAAACTAAGACATATGAGACAGACAGCTACTTTGTCAAGGGTAAAGACAATGCTTCTCATGGTCCTAGTAGGCACTTGGATTGAGGATCAAACCATGGCTTGTTAATTATAGATTAATAATCACTTAATATTGGGCAAAGAATGGACAAGAAACTAACCAAGCAGCCCCAAATGTTAGGAGAGTGGTATGGCGCTTTGTTGAATCTTATCCAGCTGTTCAGGCTTGTCAACCAAGTTGTATTCCTCCCAGCCAGTCATTCCTGAAATAATGTCACCGGCAACGAACCCCGGATGAGCGGAATCCACGCCCGACCCTTCTATAACCTTGACATATTAAAATTTGCCTGGTCAGTAAACAGCAAGTAGCCAGCAACAAGAGAGAGCAGTCAGAAGGGAAGAACTGCAAAGGGAGGGCAAAAAAGACTGACAGATCCGGGCTTCCGGTCGCGCATGTAGGGGTCGCAGGAGAGCAAGAGATTCTTCGCCAGCACGGCCGGGCCAGCGGCGCCCCGGGGACGCGCAGCGGCACGGCGCCGCCGTCGACGAGCGCCACGTCGTCCTCCCTCGGCGCGAGGGTGATGTATTCCCACAGCACACCTTCCAGTTCCTCGCGGTCTCCGCCGACGGGGGTTCAGCCCTATTTTTGACACGAAAATCAGGGTATTCTTTTAAAAAAGGGTTGTTTTCCTCTGGTTATTGCACACTAGCACATACGCCGTGCATTGCAACGGAAGATAAAATAATATGCATTTAAAGTCGGTGAGAATTATATGTGCAAGCAAAACCATATGTGCACACGAAAAAGAAACATTTAGTTTTTAGATTTCGTCACGGGTGAAGTAATCAATCCGCTATATTTTCATTCATTGATTGAGGGCATTTAAGAGTTTTGTTACGTCATTGTACGTCACAGAAGGCCTAATAAGTTATTTAATCTATTCTTCCTTTCAATCCTTTCAACCGAGGGCATTTTAAGGTATGATGTTTCTGAATATTCTATAAATCATGAACAATTTTTTAAATACAGAATAATTTTTAAAAAAAATATGTGCACTTTTGAAGAAAACACGAACAAAATATGAAAGCGAACATCTTTTAAAATTCACAAACATTTTCTGAAAACAGCAACTTTTTTATAAAAGCATGAACATTATTTGAATTTGGGAACATTTTTTTAAAACAGGAACACTTGTTGAAAATTCGTAAGATTTTTAGAAAATGTGTATTATGAACAATATTTTTAATTTTAAAAATTTCACTAAAACAAGAATATTTTTCGAATTTGGAGCATTTTTTGTAATGCCATTTTTTTAGAAATCACGTACAATGTTTAAAAACAATAATTATTTTGACAAAATGGGAAACATTATGCAAGTTTCGAATATTTTTCCGAATAGCAACAAAAATTTGGAATTCTGAACATTTTCCAAAATTTCTTGTTTTTTAATTCTGAACTTTCTTGAGAATTTTGAATTTGCAAATTAAATTTCAAAAGAAAAATAAACTTCGAAGTGAAAAAAGATATAGGAAAAAATTAATAAAAATATAAGTAAAACACAAAAAAAGAAAAATCGGGTCAACCCATTATTGGCTGCTGGGTGCGAAACCCCTACTATTTGTCGCCCAGAACGGAAAATAGAATTTCTCAGCTGTATGGGCAGAAAAATAAGTGGACTAACTTCTCTAAGCCACATCGTGCAGCCCACGTATGAAAATTCTTTTTCTAGTAGAAGAATGCATAAGAATTTAGTACCATCTTGGATAGAAAAAAATTCTTTTCAGCAGTGAATGGATGAAAAAATTGGTGAAAAGCACCTTGCTTTATTAGTAGGTATAGTTATAGATATAGATCTAAGTAACTCAATCAATCATAAAATGAAAAATGAAAAGGTAAACAAAAATACACACGAATCTCCGCGTAAAATCAATGACATAGGATGCAATACTTATGACACATCTAAATATGCTTTAACAAAACTGAAAATAAATAAATACAAAAACACATTTTTTACACAATTATAAATGTCGTCTTCTACAGCTGCTCTATAATAGGACAGCCGCACAGCAGCACCATATATATTTTTCATCCATATTCATACATATTTCACATATATAAAATACTAAATACCCTCTTTGTAAGGAAATACAACTACTAAAGTAATAATCTATTTTTTTTTAATAAAAGTAATAATCTAAACAATCTTACATTTATTTACAAAGAAAGTACATCTCAAATGAATTCAAAACAAAATACAAACGGTTGCATAGTTCATCAAATTCACAACATAAATTATTCATTGAGCTTAACAACAAAATTTAGCACACGATACAACAAAGTTTATCATACAAATGCAACAAACATAAAGATAAACTAAGCGTGTTGTCTTTATGCCATGGCCACCACTCCTGCATCTCATCTATTTGAAAATCGATCACAAGTCGCCGATTATTTGGTCTTGGAGGTTGGCAAGGTTTGGATCTGTGTTTGAGAGGTTCACAAAAAACGGTTGTTTGAGAGGTTCGATGATGCTAGATGCAACAAGCAAATGCTAAGAAACGTTGCATGCCTTGTTGTGCTTGTGGTCGCCCTCAACAACAATTCCAAGCCACCGTTCTTCTAGTTGAACCAGACGTCCTTTGTCGCCTGGTAGGTGGACGAACAAAATCGATTCCTCTCCGAGCTTGTCGTTTTTTCCATCATTGGTAGATTTAACACTAAGATAGAGGTTGTTCGGCCCTACATTGAATGTTGCATTGTCTCCAAAACATTCATGGATACTTGGTTTCGTTAACCATGAACGACTACTTAAGTAATGACAACAGATGGGGGGGGGGGGCATGAGTCCCCTCCCGTGCCCCTACTCACCTCACTACAGGACATGACATTATATCTCATTTTACATTGTAGTACACATATCATATATTCATCATTTGTTTTCTATAATCACACATGCATATCAGTACCTTATTTGCTAATAGAAATCATATTCTACACCCCATGTAGTTGAAAATAGTAACGCTAAACTAAGTGTGAGTGTAGAATAGCTTATTCTACACCCCAGTAACGACACACACAAAATATAGTAACACACTATGTAAAATATAGTAATTTTTAAAAATGTTGTAAATTACAGACTTGGGTGATAAAAATATATTTTCCAATTACTAAATTTTGTACACTGTTTTACTAGATTTTGTATGTACCATTAACATGCATGGAAAAGTTTTTATTATATTAGCCATTTATATTCATTAAATATTTTCAACTACACAATAATTAAATACAATATGCATTTTTAGTTTTGGTTCATATATTACTAATTCAACTAATCATGTTTCATACAATCAAATCATTCAAGATATATTGCAATTCATTCCCGCAGCAATGCGTGGGGTATCCTCTAGTTACATGTGATGTTTATGTCTTTATAGTGACTTTCATGATATGTATTGTATATACGCATGAAAGTAGTTTTCACTCTATTATGGCCGCTCATGCCTATTATACCTAGTTTGAACTAGGGCCTTTGAAATGTCAGCCCAGGCATATGTCCAGACCAAAAAACAATGAAATGTTTCATGTGTGCCGCAAATAGAGCAAAGAGGAAGAGGGCAGGTCGGGGGCAAGGGTGGAGGTCGATTTGGTATGGGCTGGGTTTGGAGGGTCCGGTTGGGTTGCTTTTTTCCTCGTCGAGGCTAAGCATCGTCAGAGCACCGAGCTGCTCCTATATATGGTCACTGACAGTTCAACCATGTAATGTTTTAGATCCATGATATAATCCCCATCCTCAAAAAGAAAGGGATTTCTATTTTCATGCCCCTTATCACTTAGTTCTTCTCACTTTTGCGCACACTCTTTGGCAGTCCTCACTTTTCCCCTCCACGGCGCAGCCCACCCTCACAAAATCCCAAACGGGGGTTTGTCGTCTGGTCAAAGTCTTTTACCGTTACTGGGCATGATTATTGATGCGTGGGACACCCTGTCAGCGGTTGCCCGCTCTCGGATGGTGGGCGCATATATTGACTTGTGGGACACCTTTGTCAGCGGTTGCGCGCTCGTAGATGGTGGGCGCATATATTGACTTGTGGGACACCACTGTCAGCGATTGTGCGCTCGTAGATGGTGGGCGCATATACTGACTTGTGAGACCCCTCTGCCCATCTCTGA